AAATAATATCACACAAATATATCAAGTTCTTGTGCACACCTGTAATGCAGCTATTTGCGAAGGATTGCCTAGCAATAAAATTTGTGGCTCTTTCTCGTTTGCATTGTCGATCATTTTGGAAATCTGGATCTGTTTATCTTTCGCTACCAGCTTATGCTATTAAGATCAATTAATTGCGTAATTATTATATAGACATAATTGCACAAAATATAGAATAAGTCAAGGTTTATATCTGCATACTTACGGTTTCCTTCATAATCTTTTTTTGTTTTTATTCTGACTAGAGGGTTCAAGAGAATCCTGCAAAAATGTATCGACACCGTCGTCACTATCGACCAACGAATGAGCTGTTCTCTTGTGCATTATCAGCGTGCTGCTCTGACGATATTTTCTGGAACACAGTGTGCATTCGAATAGTCGTTGCGGTGTATGTACCTACAAAGACAAAACTATCTAGAAATAAGTTTCACACAAACCAGCACATTGTTTGATCAGTATTGTATTATACTCTTAATATCATTAATAGATATAAAATGCTTACAAGATGATGTTTATATAGACTAGAATATTCAGTAAATCTTCTGCCACAGTTTTCAATAGAACAAACATAAGGTTTTTCGCCCGAGTGTATTCGTATATGATTCTTATAATTTGTTGCACTAGCGAATGCTTTACCACACGTCGGATGCGTGCATTGATACGGTCGTTCACCGGTATGCGTTCTTACGTGAACCTATCAAATATGAATCAAATATGAATCTACCATTAAATTTTACAACAAAACATTTTGACGGGCGTCGAACGTTGCAACTCTATCTGTACCTTTCTAATATTACTCGTGGTGAATGATCTGCCGCAACCATTGTACGGACATACGAAGGGACGTTCCCCTGTATGAGTTCTCACGTGTTTTAATAAATCACCCGATGTTTTAAAACTCTTGTTACATGTTCCATTTGTACATTTGTATGGTTTCTCGCCCGTGTGCGTCCGCGAATGTGCTTTTAGACTGTAGCCCGTTGAAAAACTCTTTTTACATTTCGGATGATTACATCTATATGGTCTTTGGCCAGTATGCGATCGCTCGTGGACCTATAAAAGAAGATTAAATACAAAATATTGTGACTTTCATAATCCTACTATTCGAAAAAAATTAAATATTTTTAAATCAAGATTTTCAAATTATTTATAATTTTGAAAAATTAAAATCAAGGAAAATTTACTTTGAGGTGATGGGGCGTGCTGTAAACCTTAGAACATCCTTCTCTAGGACAAGGATGTCTAATTTTTGCATCGGATAACTTGTTGATTAAAATTTTGGGATCCTTCTTTTTCAATTTCCCATCTTTAATCTCCCATAAATTTTCATCTACCACACGGCTGGCTACCATATATGCAGTACCATTGATAAATTCTACTTGCGAATATGTATTTTCTACATTTTCAGTAGTAGCATCTTCAGCTTGTACAAATGTAGCTGGATCTAATTCCAATTGGAGAGCCTTGCCATCACCAAGTTCTGATAAATCTCGCAGCAAGATGGTATCTCCGTTTTCAAGTGATGTTTGTAATGCTTGTGTTTTAAACTCTGAATCTGCAAATATTCAAATTTCATTAAATATGCTGTTTTTTATTCTTTTCTTCGACTCTCATTCTTTTGTATTAACTTAAATAGCATTTAGAAATTGAATTCAAAATGATACTAACCAATACCACTGAGATTATTTGTAACAAAAGCTTGAGTCCCATCAGGCAATGTAATCGTGGTCACCATTGTCCCAAACAATTGATCATCCAGTATAAGTTCCTGTACTTGATTAGCATCTTTCTCATCATCATTGATCATAACCGATAGACATTCCAGAATATCTACAGGATTATTCTGAAACCAATTATATATGTTAGAACGTATTTTTCAAGGTTTTAAATGTCATCAACTTGTGCAAGTTACTTGACACTAAATTCAGATTAAAGTCTCAAAAAAATCACAAGATTTTTGGTCTCATAGACAAGTAAGATAAAGGCTGATTTTGAATTCACTTCGTATCAATTATCAGAAATAACATAACAGGTTAGAAATAAGAAAATAAATAAAACAGTTGTTGGCTAAGTTAGATAGAAATAATTGTTTGTCTTTTAAAATAGCTCAATTAATAAAATTAATTATTCACTGTTGTTAAGTGCTAAGCTTGATAGAGGCTGATACAAAGCAATCCATTTAAAATTACTTTACATGGTATTATCTCTTATGTACCTCAGGATCATGTAGAATTATTTCTTCCTCCTCCTCCTCCTCTTCTTGATTCGCGGTGCAACTCGGAAGATCCGCATTTTGTGCCGACATCGTCCCTTAAGACTGTTATCCAGCTGCAAACAGAGAATATTCATCGTTGACAGACGCTGGATAAAGGGACATCCTGCTCACGATTTCGTTTCTCCCTGAGCACGAGATCGCGTGGTAACCTCACCGCGCAAATTGTGATTGTGATTGTATCATACTCGCGATAAGGGCGATGACGACGCGATCGACTTAGCGAGTAAACAATCCGCTGTCGTCGGCGCCGACGCATCTTGCCCGCACGCGATCGACACCCGAGGGGACATCCGAACGCATGGCGTCGCACCCAGGACGTGTCGAACTGCATTTTACTCCGACAAGTCTCGCCATCGCCCGTCCGAGCACAGCCATCCAAGATGAGACCGAAGGAGACTGACTGAGATACCGCGAAGCAACGATCGAGGAATGATCGAGGATGTCTCGTGTTGACGTGACGGAAAACGACGCCTCGCAACGCGTCACGACGCGCCGCGCCGCGATGCGACGAAATGCGATACAATCAAATGCAACGCGACGCAACACAACACGATTCGCTCGCTCAGTCGCACGCGCTGAATTGAATCTTTGTCGATCTCTCATATGCCAGTACACCACAAAGAATCTTGGGAAATATTACCCATAAACTCCGGCCGCCCGCGAAATCCTCTCGCGACTAGCGCGCGACGGACCGGAACTCCGGCGACGGTTATCTCGCCATGGCGATGTACGCGCGTTCCAATTCAAACGTTTAAACCGTTCGCTGGCGGACGAAGCCGCACTTCTCGTTCGCAAGCGGTCTCTCGAAGGGCCATACAATGTGAAACTAAAAACAGTATTCACTGTTTTACATAACATTATAATTGACATTATTATAAGCACGATTCAAGAAATTGCTTGGTATTCTATTAATTGGAATCTCAAATCTCTACCAGCACATATAGATTCTGAGAACGTTTAAAAAAATTATGCCACATATAAGTATGCAATTGCATATTGCAAATTTCTTTATATTACTTTTTTTAAAACTAATTATGTATCTTTTTTACAATTGATATTAAAATCCAATTTATCTTAAATGAGAAATCAGATTGCGAATTCGAGTCTACGAGGCCATCTGCGAGCCATCATAAAACAATAGAAACGGAGGCTCAACATTATAACAATGTCATCACGTATATAATTAATTAATTAGCGTCTACAAGTCGATTACAATTGAATCGCATCCGTAAGAAAGTTGAATATTCAACATACAGCGATAGTATCACTATGCTCTAATTCGCTTAAGAAATACGCAATGCTCGCATTTTTCGGCAATCTTTAATTTACTCACACATTCGAGATTATATAAAACTTATCAAGATGCTATTACAATAGTAGGAATTCTGATTAACATAATCGGTGTAATCACAAAATAAAACTAAATTTCTAACTTATTGTTTCTGATCCAATCTTTCTTTTCATATATATCAAACAATAAAAAATTAATTATCCCATTCACATTAACGAAATTAGTATATATTACAGTATTGCTTGACAAGTTAATTAAATCCGGTTAATTTAATCGGAATTCGAATCGCTCTAAATGTAGCGTGAAATGGAAATAAATTAATGTAACAGACTGGACTGAAGTCTGTAATCTATATATCTACTATATATCTACAGCTAACTTATGTTAATTATAGATTACATTATACATTTATTATCTTTCTGTAATCGTGTAACCGCCCGTTCTAAGACGAAATGTGTGCTTTCTTAAACTTCGAACTCTTTCGCTGACTCGTGACCGCAGGAACGAAAAATACAGCGCGTTCGCAGACGTAGTTTCGCAAGCGAGCTAATTCGATCGTAACCGCGCGATCTCGAGGCGAGATGAAAGTGCTTCGCCGTGATTCCCTGCGAGTTAGTCCTTATTACCTCGGGAGCCTCCGCGAAACGTCGAGTTACACGCAGGTGGGGTACACATGTATGCACGCGGGTGGCGGGTAACGAGAAGGGGGATGCTGAAATTCATGCACGCGTCGGCGGTCACTGACGTTCTCCGTTCGACCTGAATCAGTTCCTATACCGCATCCACGAGGCGTCTCGCGAAATCTGACTGGATCCTTAGAGTTCGTGAGTCCACTGTAAGAGAAAATCCTCGCCTCCGGTGACTGCGAACCGATCCGGACGGGTGTGCGTTATCCTCGTCTCATCGGAATCTCAATCGGCGGACGACGATCGATTGCGACGATGATGATGGTGGGTGGAGTGACGTTTAACGGGACGAACCTGTGACCCGCGGGATTCCTTGACCATTCATCGGTGGCTATATTCATTCGATCTGAAAATTTTTAATAACTTTAATGTTTTTGCTTATTTCTCAGGATATCAAATTTTCAAAAAGATTACGAAAAGGTTATTTTATGATTCGATTAATTGCCATTAATCCCGCGGGAATTTTCTTCACGCTAATTCTCTCTGGAATATTTTAAATATTCAGAAAAAAATATCTTAATTTGAAATTTATACTTCAAAGACTCATTATTAAAATCTAAAATCTTAACAAAGCGTTATTAGATGTGAAATGTTACTCGGCACAATTTTATAAAAATTTTTTAAACTTAATTTTATAAACTATTTACATAATAATCTTCCATAAAGCGTATTTTTAATTAATTAAGTAATTTAATAAATTTTGAATAATTTTTTTATTTTCAAGCATATTTTGATATCAAAGATGAGACTACAATTTCTAGCGATATATAGATTTGCTGCAGAAATATTTATTATGCAATTTACAGAGAAAAATGAATAATTGAAGCAATCTTCCACTTCAACTTTTACTTCTTAACTTTGATAAAAGAACTTCATTACGAAGATAATTTATATTCTTTACTTTTTAAACCGCTATTACAATTCACATCAAATAATTAGTCTTTAATTTATCTATGAATTTAATATAACATTAGAAAGGTAGAAGAGTAACTAAGTGCATTATGCACGTATTTATAAATTCTTATGCACGTGTGTGCGTGTGTATCAATGTAATTGCTTCATTGCGAACACTCGCTGTTACTTAATCAAATCGTGATGTATCACGTGAATGGGATCGTTCTCAGTTTACAGCACACACATTTTTTTCATTCGTTCGCTGTGTCCCAATACTTTTGTTGCTAATCAAAACACGTCACGCAAAAGTAATTTAAGTCATTAAGTAATTGTCTAGAATCGAGATCAAAATCTTTTGTTCTTCACTTGATCGATTATAAAATGTTAAATAACTATAAATTATTTTTTACATAAACAATACATGAAACATTTATAAACAAATGAAATAACATTTAAAGAATTATATAACATATAAAGGACTTTTCTATTTCATATAATTAATTTATTTTTGCATAACGTTGTGTCTAAATTTGTTGCGATAACTGAATATTCTTCCCGATAAAAGAGATCTCACGCCCTTTCAAAACTCTATGCTTTCACAAATTTTCCATTGTCGGAATACTTGGATTCCCAATCGATAATCTATCAATGCAGAAATACTACTTATGTACACAAGGTTTCTACACTGTTGAATTTCAAATGTCGGATTCAATAGCGACCGAATGTATTCCCAGGTGAAGGTAAGCGGAAAGGAAGGCGAAAGGGTGAGTTTGATACGCATTGCCGAACACACGTGTATATATATTGAGTCTCTTCGAGGACTAACTCAACACTCATGCACATACACAAATGTACATACACAAATGCATAAAAGCGTTTTGTCGAGGCGTAGGCGCGCTTAGTTCGTGATGGTGTATGAGTACCGATGGTATGCGGAGATATAATGTAACTACTGTCGCAGTCGCTAAAAATATTACCTTTCAAAGCGCAATGTTGCTGGCTCCAATCCTTAGTGGGAAAAGTCTGTTTTGTAGACTTGCAAGGGAGGGCAGCGTTCCGCAAGCAGGTCGCCGAAATGATGTAATGTGTTCCGATGTAACGTTACATCAAGTTTATGTTATAATAAATTAGCCCAGATGCCTGTCTCGAGAATCTAGAAGAAAGAATAATGAGTTTAGAAATTAATAACCACAAGATCGTAAAAGAGTAATGAGTAATAAAACATCGCTTTCAAGATTTCTTCATGAGCAAGAATATCGATATTTTATGATGAAAGATTATAAATCTATTAAAAAACAAAATAGATATTACAAATTAATAATAATTTAATTCTTTGTAAACAGACACACAACAAAAAAATACTACATAACAAAATAAACAAATGAATTATTGATCAACATTGCTATTCCGTTTTTTTTTTATTAAGCTCTTATGTATGAAGTATTTCATTAACGTTTAATAGTTGATGGCAAGAATTGTCTTAATAAAAATATTCTTATAAAACATGAACTTTCTAGATTAATCGTTTCATATAAACGATCTAATTAGCTGTAATTCTTTTGATAACATAATTAATTGATACGTTTCTTTAATATTTACATATTTCTATGTATTAATAAAATGTCGCTTATAGATTTTTTTAAATAATATTTCGAAGATTGAATTTGAAAGGTAACTATATAATTTTCTCTTCTATTATGCGATTCTAAGTTTCATATATGAACTTGCATAGAATGAATTTTAGAAATGTATTTACCTTGACACATTTTTGTTATATATATTATTTTGTACAGTCCTTTTCTGCATCATGTGATGATTCATCAAAAAGAAAAAGAGATTTATCTGTCGTCTATATGTGTATTATGACATAGAAGCACTCCAGGCTGACTCGATAATATAATCCAACTAAAATAATCTTGAGTTCTAATTAAATTTAGACCGATTTTTTTCTAGAGATCCAAATAATACAATGTATAAATATTTCATAATTTTAAAAATAATAATGCATATATTGTATTGCTAATTAAAAAATTGGTTTAACATGCATCTATAAAAATTGTTATAATTATATATTAATAGTTGTTATTTTGTTATGTGCATTTTATAATAATAATATATGTAGTTATATATTATAAATGTAATTTTTTAACAATATAATCGTGAATAACTCAGCTTGATATCTTGAATTTAGCGTAGAAAGTAAATAGTTTTATTGTTGCCGCCGGCTATTTTTGTTTTCTTTGAGAACAAATCTTTATAAAAATAACGCGTATACATCTTATAATATCTTTAAACCTAAGTGCGCAATATGATATATAATTGTTTCTAAGAAAATTTTCTGCGGAAGTTATTCTCAGAATCTCATAATGTATCGGGTTTCGGCAACTATATATTGTGGTTGAACTGTATTATTTCTTGAATTAGAAATTCATAGGTACCGTACTTTATAGATATCGTACCTTATACATATTTAATAAGGAATACAGAAATTAAGACTTCCAAAGCTCAATAAATCTAATTCCATCTCACATTTTTAATAAAAATTCGAAATTTTTTCTGAAGAAAAATCGTAAAATAAAATTTCTAAATTTTTTTCTCACATTTTTGCAATTTAGCAATCCAGAAATGGCTTTGACGACACGATATATCGGCAATAAGATCACTATTTTGGTTCCAGATAAGGATTATACTGTTGTTTCTTACGGTGACTGTGGCCAGTTCTCTGCCGCTCGCCAACGTACACGTGAAATTTGTGTCGCCTCCCGATGTGTATGAGCATAGCATTACAACAGATGGTTAGCTACCAATTGCGCAATAATGCTTTATCTCGTACTAAGTCGAGATATTTTACTTATTCGCATTCGTTTTCAGGGGATCGGACGGTAGCCCAGAAGTCATTCATTTCAATCGGTCGACGAAGCACAGCAAAACATTCCAATGATCTTGGTGATTACTTTATTTCTATAATTTGTCAACAATTATTTTAGTGTAATATAGTCAGAATTAAAAATCTATATTCTTTAAATCATTTAATCATCTTTTTGATCACTTGAGTGAGATTAATTTATATTTGTAATTCTTTTTTACAGATTACAATTACAGAACGAATTTACGGCAGAATCACTTACGGCAGGTAGTGCCGATAACGAGTTCAGGAAACATTGAATCCTTGTGGCCGGTTGGTGTTTTCCTGCCACCGATTGACGTTAATGATCTTGGATATAGTTGGGACGAGGCACGACATAGTCATCCCAACTTTTATAAGTCGCAGGGTAAGCGAATATTTATTGCTGACCAACGATACAAAACCATGTACATCTGTCTTTTTATGTCGTATTTTTTAATTCGTACTTTATAATACTTATGTTTTGGACAAAACATATTCTAATTTCTCATCTTTTTTATATTTGTGCACGATTCGGTTTGTTTCTATATATTAGTGTTGTGATTACAGGACGAGACCCGTATTTGTTAACCAATCGTGAAGCAATGATGGCAGTTAAGTATCTCTATGGATTGGGTGAGCTTTTCTTCGACGATTATCCGCACGCAAGAGCGTTGCTGCGAAATCAGGAAGAGAGAAGGCTGAACGGTCTACATGGACACGTTCTCAGCAGTCTGAATCCCAGATCTCCGTTTTATAGAAAGGATGGAAAGGGACTAAGCTAAGAATGATGAAAGTTGCTCGCATCTAGATATATTACTGGGCTCGAAAATTCGAACATAATAAACTTGCAGTACGCGATCCTTTTTATTATAATTTGCAGAATTTTGTGATGTACTGCAACAAAGTATAACAAATTAAAAACTAATACGCATTCTCATGGAGGAGGCAGGAATGATATATTCAAGATTAATCTCTTTTAAACTTCTAATTGATAATAATAATATATAAAATGTTCCATTGCTGTGTCAACGTTTAATGGTGGATTTTTGTACATTCTTCTCGAATTGATTTCAGATTAACAAAATTAATTAACAAAATTAATTAACAAAATTAATTAACTAAGATGAAAAAATATATATCTCTAGAAATACATGTATATTAAAACATGCCTTATTTGTGATTATTTTATGATATGTATTATAAAGAACACATTATTTTGTACACACTTACACACACATTCGTCTAATTCTTAGGAAGATTCTTATATTCTCTACAAAGGGCTCACAAGAAGATTAATCACTTTAGTCCAACCACACGATGGAGTATCATATATATTTTCAAATAAGCCATCGTGTTAAGCATATAGCTATCGTTATTAAAAATCTACTAGTGATAGTCGTTCTCGTTGTTCCGTTACAAAGATCTCCGTAACAGAGACACATATACACTTTCTTATAATTCCATACGGTGTACGCGCATCTTTCTTCATTGTCATCGGGACCTCGCTGGAAGCACAATCTCTGTGTGGCAGTACCATACTCTGTAATATATAAATTTTTTACAATTTTATAAAAATTTATATGAAATAATAGAGTTGCATTGATTTCTAATGTAGGGAAATCTTTTCTATCATTTAATATATTAATTTATTAATAATGTAATATTAATATAAATTTTACTAAGAGTGTAATAACTTACCATTGTTTAAATTTTGGCTCTCGATAATTTTTCCGCACCACCCGGAAACGCATGGAACTGCGTCGACACCTTTTTCGAGTGTGATTTGCGTAGAATTCATAGTGAAAGGATCCTTGCACGAGCCCAAGTCTCCACGCGACCTACAGCTTACGCATCTTCGAAAAATGCCTATAACAGCGCGATGAACGAGACTGTCACTTTTACTTGGCATTGCTCGAGCGTCATTTCACTCGCGCTGCATAATAGACATCGATTAATGCAGAAATTTCTTATAACTTGAAGCATTGAGAGAAGCAAAATTGTTAGTATAATATAAAACATAATTTGTAGTTTAATAAACATTAATTCACATAATGTAAAAATATTTCTTTTATTCATAAGATATTAAAAATTAATATTTACCAGATTTAATTACCAGATTTATTTTAGATTTATTATTAACTAAAGAAAAATATTTTTGTTGAAAATAAAATATAAGAGACTTGTGGAAGTTTCTTATATTTTATAGTATTCTTTTGTTTTACATTGCTCAAAAAAATCACATTACGTATGACACGAAGAAAAATTCTAATCTATCAAATATATTTTCCTGAATACTTGGTATTTGCTAATTATTACTTATTATGTTATCAAATATTATTTATCATTTTGTTAAAAAGATATTTAAGGATATAAAAAATTTTGAGAAGAATGTAGATAATTGAGAAAGTTCTTTAACTTGCGACAGAATCTCACCAGCGCATTCTTGAAGCGCAATTATCCAGATAGTTGCGATGATCGCTTGGACACTTGTTCGAACTCTCATCCTATTTCGCTTTTAATCTCGGATCAGTCTTTTCGTGATTGATTTACTAGCCTGTTAATGAACACCGTAGACAATGAGCCGGGAGCTACGACACAGCCATTTTGGAACTAAACTTAACTGTCTGGAAACGCATACGTTCGCTTCGTAGCTGTCTCTACCAGTTCCCCCTTTCACTCGACTTTAAGGTCACCGCATGCCGAAGAAGATCGCATTGAGAAAATACGAAGGAGATAGCTACGAGGCCTCGTGAAGCATTCTCGATCGATAACCGATAAATCTATCACACAATACTAAAACATTAATAAACTTATTTACAATAACATTGAAAATATACATTTTACATGATAAAAATATGATACCTCAAATTAAGAAGAAATTAATCAAGAAGTTTTTCTTCTTCTGGATCATCTTGCGGCAAAAAGTGAAATTTAGTTCTATGCCGGCAGGTTATTATTATACCCACACAATAGCAGAGTGAAGTTAAAAAGATTATGAATCCTAAATAACCCAAATGCCGAACAAAAGCTGTAAGAAAATAATGAACAAATTTATAAAAATTTGATATCTGTCTGTAGAAATGCTAATCATTTTACAATTATCTATTTAATAAAACTTATTAATATTTTGTAATTCTCTACATAATTATCTACATAATTATTACATTATATATTTTATAATAAATTTTCATTGTGCGGGTTTTAACCGACCTTGCGTCAAAAGCCGAGTCTTAGATACCACAATAATCTTCAGCCGCATCATATTAATGTTATCCACGTAACAAGTATAGTTACCTTGTTCCTCTTTAGATACGTCTATCGAGAAAGAATACGTACAATAAAATTTATTACCTGCAGAAACTACTAAATATTACTATACATCTAGATAAATAAATAAATATATTTGAAATTGTTCTTTTATAAAATTAAAAAAATCAATATATTTTACATTACCTGTTAAATAAAGTGTTGAAAAAACATCTACCATTATTCGAGCTTTTTTATCTTTTTTGCGAAATGATTGACCTGTTCCTTTTCTCAAAGTGAGCGTATCCTTTTTCCAAATTACTTGCGATGCTGTGCTTGATCTATATTCAAAATATTTTACTTGTTTCCTATTCTAATATCCAACTCGCATAAAATGCGATATATTAGATATAAAAGAATTGAATTTTGTAAAAAATTCAATTGTAATAAATTGTAATAAATGTTTGTAATAAATTCTTAAAATTGTAAAAAATTCTTTGAACAAATTACTCTGGACAAGATATGGCAAGATGTGCGCTTTCGGCGAGAACATATCGTTTAGCATAGCGAAACTTTTCGCCCTTTCTTCTTTTTTTTACGCGTGGACATTTCTTGCAAGATTCTGTTAAAATAAATTCCGGCAAATATCGTATAACACGGCTGATAGTAGGAAATTTATTTTGAAGTAGGATGGATCTGTGAATATATATTATTAAAATATAGCATGTTATTGCATAAAAAATTGCTGTCAGTGATTCATAATTATGATATCGCAAACATTTACTTGCAAGGAAGCATCGGAGATCGTCGAAAAAAATTAATAACGATTGAATCGTTTTTTTCTATCGCTGTCTAAGATAATAAATATTAATAAAATAATTGACAAAATAGTAATAGAAAAATTTTAAATTCATTAAGATAATAGTGAGAAGGATAAAAATATAGATACAACACATACCGAATTTATGCTGCGTTTTAACCTGCAGTAGCCTCTGCTACTTTTAATGCCGCGGTTATTTACACACTCTTTGCATGAACTCCAAGGACCCCATTCAGAAATTACCTGAAGAATTACTCCCTCTTCACGAATATCTGCTAAATCCATCATTTTTGAGACCTGTTAAGAGATTCTTTCTTTCAATATTACATATTCTTTTAACATGTCAATTTAGAACATCATTAGCAATATAATAAGTACATCACGGTGACTTTAAGTAAAATAGCTACCCCATTCTTTGTTTAAATATAATGCAAGAATAAAATATATAACATATATATAACATATATATTTTTTTCCACTATGTTTATAATTAATTAAGTTGTTAACTTACTGCAAATCTTGTAGTGACAGGCCATAAATAAATTTCGTGATATTTTTCCCATTCAGTTATAGTTCCCTTTTCTACAAACTCGCCACCAATATCTTTGAGAATTGCTATTGTAGATAAAAATGAATATTAATTTCAATATGCTGAAATGATAATGAAACCAAATATATAAATTCATTAATTTTGTAATTCATTAAGTTTTACAACAAAACAAAGTGTTATGTCAATTAATACACTTATTATTGATTGATTTATTATACGTTCAATCCTGTAATTAAATTTATTTTCTTTTTCTTGTCCTTCCTTGCCATGACAGCGATAGATACCAGTATCAAGTTCCGTAAAGCTTTTTATAACTAGAGAAAGATCTGGCATGGTATAAATTCTATTGTATGAAATATTGTTATCCATTCCTAACTCAACCTCCTTTTCTGGTTTTTCTTGATATCGATCTTGATAGTACCAAATTTTCGGTTGAGAGTCTTCGTGCTCGTTACTTCTGCAAAAATTTGAATCCTCAACAGTTTACTGCATCTCGAAGAAACTATCGTAATTAATTCTGTTTTAGATTGGTTTGATTAACAAGCTAAAGAGTTACTCTATAATTTAAAAAAAGAACTATATCATATTATTCATTTACTCTAACTAAATATCTTGACTATCGTTACCAGTGATGACATGCTAGCATAATATTCGTATTATTCGCAGCATCGATGAGCAAATACTCGTCATTTTCCTCGGACGTAATTAGTCTGTCTTTATCTCTACAGTATTTATTAACACTTACGAGTGCACCGTCGACAGCCACGCAACCATATAGATGCATTAAAAATGTAACAATGATCCAAATGATATACATAATGTTGACAAAACTAAGTGACAATATACATGATTTTGAAAAAAAAATTATGATGCAACAAAGAAATATCGCGTCCACGGTACGGCTTGAAGTAAGCGGTCAAAAAGTGCGCATGCTAACAAGTCGTGATATGTAAACTTCCGTTTTTTATCTTTCTTTTTCCAACGACCCCCGTATAACTTATTCTGAGCATAGAAACTGTAATACGGTACAGAGTCAATTGTTTCTTCCACACAATTGAATTCTTTTACATTTTGTTCTATATCTATATTTTCTTTTTCTCTTTCTGATAATTAATTAAATATTTATCTTATTTTAAATGCGAACGCGCGACGAAATATAGCTACAAAGATTGAACATCGAGATGATCACCGACAGAAGTGACGTCAAGGTGTACCAACTTAAACGTAACCGTTCTTCTAAAAAAAAAAAAATCGTGTTTGAATTTTTAACTAAATCTTTTTATGAGTTGAATGATCAGTGAATTGTTTGAAGAACTTAGGAATTAATTCTCACGGCATCGTTCGACGTTTAGTGTCTGCCGGCTCATGTGGCACTAAAGTTCGCTAATTCTTCCTTATAATGTCATTCGAAGAATAATTAACTCTTTACGCTCCGGGATTCTCAGATGGTAGACAACGGCGCGACGCGGCACGCGGAGTAGGAAACCGCCAATTTTCGCCGAGACGGCGACCAACTTCCGGGAACGACGAACCGCCAACCGGGTCCGGCCACGCGAGATGGCGGATCGTGAACTCGTACGAGTCGGAAGTACGTACCCATGATGCATCACTGATGTCAACATGGCGGACGTAGTTGAAAGTGAGTAAACTTTGCGTTATTTTCGGCAAAATTAACAAGACAGACAACGGCGGATGGCATCGAGGACCGACGCCCGTGGAATCCGCGTTCCCGGTTTACCGGTCCGTCGGGCCGGCCGCCGGCTGGCGCGGCCGCGCCGGCCGTAATCGCTGTTCGAACGGCGATCGGGTGCGGATCGGGTTTAAAATTTCAAAAATGACCAACACGCGATTCAAGCGGGACATTCCGCTGTGGTTCCGCGATAGCGTTACCTCGCGTCGTGTCCGATGGCGAGGCGACCGCGCGCTCGATTGACCCGCGGCACCGACCCGCGACGTCTGATGACTCGCTACGCGAGTCCACCCGTCCGCGTCGGACTGTTTATCAAACCCCCGAGTTTGGTTATGTCACCCTCCTTGACCGTTTGCTACTTTTGCACGGTCGATACCTCCGCGAATTTTTCGTATTGTCAATTTATTGTCGTTTAATTTTTATCTTTGACCGACACGACTTGCGCGGGAACAGACGCGCGTCCTTTCGTCTCGCGCGATCGACCCGCTCCGATTCCCGCTTTTACGAATGCGTTAGTTATTACTTGCAGATTTGATCGCTCGAGTATATAACTTTTTAAAAAATTCCTAGATCTTATTCCTTTGTGCGATACAAATTTGCACGCGTCAGATGTACATTGCTGGTCTTTATGAAGATATGTAATGGTTGGAATGATTTCTTTTCTTCACATTGATGTCTTCATCTGTAAATCATATATATATATATATATATATATATATATATATCTCTATATATAATATATACATATACTAGATATAATATGATCTAG